ATTACATCATTCCATGTGTTATAACAGATATCAATTACATAAGACAGGTAGTCCTCATTGACAAAGGCATATATATTAGGGATGGCAATCGATTACAGAATTGCTAATCGGTTAACCGCATGGCCTACCGACCGATTAACCGGTTAATCGTATCAAAATGCACGTTTTCTTGACAATTGCTTTTCAAGTAGCTCTGTCCATATACACAAATAGATCCAAATAAAACGATAGAAGATAAAACATTCCATTAGTCTTGATTCTGGATGAGAAAAATACGGGTACATATTTTTTTATTTAAATTTCAGTAGGCAAGAAAAAATTGAGAAAACCCTGAAATCTTTGCTAATTTTCCACAGCACAAGTCACAAATGCTCTTTCTGCATTTTCACTATGATAATCAAAACTACACGTGAACTCAAAAGCCCTTAATTTACAATGTTTGTTTAATAATTAAATTGGATTGAAAACTGAAAACTACAAACACACCAATTCACAGTGCTCAATGATTTAATTATTATCATTAAAGAATTACAGGACAGTCGGGGTAACGACATGGTGTTTTCACAGTTATTAACACTGTACATAAACTGACCAATTTCGCTACGGTCTCTATCTGGAAATTTATAATTACACGTACGTCCAAATTAGATCCGTTAAATCCTAAATGATCATCCTTTCTGCAGAGATTTTTTTTTAAAATATTTTTTTTAAAAATGTGTTCAATTTAACAAATATTTTATTTTTTCCGATTAACCGATTACAGATTTTCTAATCGATTTCCATCGTTCCGACCGAGTAATCGGTTAACCGGTTACAAATACATTTTTACATTTAAAATTGGATTGAGATTGCCATGTTTTGTATTATCCGCCACGCCATGCTGTCCCAGTCAGACGACCAAACGCGCCTTTAATTTTGAAGAGTTCACTTTTGAAGAGTTCAACAATGGAAATAGAAAGTATTGGACACGCAGTGTATGCATGTATTTTCTCAAGATGTATGGTTTGGTTTCGTTTGGTTTGAACATATTTTATTGTAATTTCTAATTACAAAGGGATTGGGCACAAGTTCTAAAAACTTATTACACCCTCTCCCTCAAGATGTATATATTAGATTAAACCATATTTTATCTGAAAATGACAAGCAGAAAATACAGGCAAGTAGTACAAAAAATCAAAAAGGATTCGGAAACAAGTTTGAAAACTTATACTAATCCGTTACCTTATTATTATGACTAAGATGACAGACCCTTATAAGATAGTTTAACACGCTTTGAAGCTGCTTAAAAACTAATATTTGAAATTGACATACATGTTAAATTAGAAATGATGTCGATTCATACAAATGAATGACGTTCTAATAATACAGAAGAAATCTAATAGATTTGTACAATATGTATGTATGAGAGAGAAAAAAAAGCGAAAAGATGTATATATTATATAGGCTATAACAAGGAACATTCGTCTCTACTTCCTTTTTTCCTTTCACTTTTCCCGATTCCCTCCTCTAATCTACTCAGATACGTAGCTTTTTTTTTTATTAGTGAAGACATAGCTGGCAAAAAAAAAAAAAAAAAAAAAAAAAAAAAAGACTTTGACAAGCTCAAAAGGTAGAACAATGGTTATCATGATAAATATATTTTAAAAATAGGAAATTTCAAAGAACTCAAAATTAAGAATTGGGCAGAGAAGGGGTTTCTTTTCTCATATTCGTCACTTTTAGGCACAATAACATGGAAGAGCTTACATTGGACTGTAAAGAAAATTTGGGGAGGTGGCTTTGGTGAAACAGGCCTCCGAATGAAAATTTCAATACATAAAAAAATAATAACAGTGAAAAAACTTTTTGTGAAAAGGGGGGGGACTAAAGAAAACTGTCATTTAGAGTTCCATAAAAAAGTGGCCGGGGGGGGGGGGTGTCTTATATTATGTGCCCGTTAACATACTTGAAGGGATAAAAACGAATCGGGTTGAAATGAGAGCCCCCCCCACACACTTTTTGACGCCAATTACTCGAGTATATGCTGTATGTAACACATCAAAGATGGGGAATAATATCAATTGGTTTTTATAGTTTGATTGATTTAAAATAATTATTAATAAACACTGTACTAATATGTGATAAAGTTGTCCCATAGTTGTTGAAATCGCACCTGTTTTCTTTCTACCCCCGCCCTAACATACACACACACAATGGAGGATGTTTGCAAAATCTCCGCGTACGCAGTACTCAGTACGTACATGTATTGTGTTCCTTGTTATGGGTATACATACATGTACTTCCTGCATTCTCAGTTTTATAAAGGATTGCGAAAATGCGTCTCTTTTACGTAATACACAGTATTGTTAAAAAAAAACCCTTCTCAAAAATCCTGCGGCAGTCTGTCGTGTATGAGCAATGAGAATGAACTTAAACTTTGCCTACTGATAAATTGATTTGTAATTTATATGATTTCATTTTTGATTCTTGTATATGACATGTAGACCGTAGGCTAAACCATCTTGTCATAATATCAAAATAAATGAAAATAGTAGATCATAGATTTATTTTTCACACAATAATGATACAATAGAGTGAAATACATGACTGTATGCAGCCGCTGAAACGTTTTCTTAGAGAGAGAGAGAGAGAGAGAGAGAGAGAGAGAGAAGAAAAAAGCTATCATACATGCGTTTTTCTTTTCTAAGCAAAGATATGTACAAATACTAATTTAGCATTTTGACATAATTATTGACAATTATGAATACGGATTACCTTGGCAGAAGTATTCGTAACGTAAAATCGCCCAAACGTCAAAAACCTATTTCGTGTGTGTGTGTGGGGGGGGGGGGGGGAGTCGTTGATGTGTGTACCTTTTCAAACCAACTTAACACAGATCCGCTTTTTATTTGGTTTAGTATATAAATTCAATAACTGCAAATTCCAGGGGTGGGGGGATCTGGACCACCTCCGCCCCCTCTAGATCCGCGCATGATAAGGTTGTTTGGGGTATACATGTAGATCTATGTACTCAGTTCTAAAGTCCTTCAGTTCATGGTTTAATACATACACGGAATATATTTTTTTTCAAAGAAAAATCATTATTTTCAACAGTGATTTGAAACAAACTACTACAATCCATGACCAAGACTGATACGGAAACATCCAGCTTGATCAGGCAAAACATTTTATGTGGCATATATATAATGGCATTACTTCAATTATTATGGACTCTAAAAAAGCATACTGCTCTATTTTCAATTGTTCAAAATTTGTGCATGAAATATTCAATAAAAGAACGGATGGACTGTCTGTCCCCTTTTATAAACCCGTTATACGTCGGCGATGTATATTGCAGTTGACCGACTTTAGCGTGGGAGAGAAGCGATCTCGGTTACTTCCTTTGATGTGGTAACAATGTGACGTAGTATTTAAACTTCTCGACAAGCAAATCGTCAGCACGACACAAATAGTGAAATTCCTTAGGTCTAATGCAATTTGCTCTCTATATATAAAATTTTTTTTACACATGTCTTTCAAACAAACCAAATTTACTATATACAGATAGTGTATCCTCTGCTCAGTTGAAAGACATTTAAACATTAAGTAATCTGACACGGATTATAAGTTGTTCTTCAATATATTTTGTATTGTATCTATGGACTACGAGACTGGTTGATGGTTTTCATATGCTTTACCTATGATGAAAAATTAAACAGGTCACTTGATACGAAGGAAAAAAAATATATGATAAATAATATAACCTATAATGATATACAAAAGTTATCGCTTGACAGAAGGGGAGCAAAATCTCTGAATGATATACAATTGAAATCACAATAAAAATTGGCAAAAATATAACATAATACAACAAAGTAACTATACGCCCTATTTCTGATGAAATTGCTCTTGTATTTTGATATAAAATCAAAAAATAAATGCATGGTTGTTTTAACTTTTTTTAAAATTTTGAATGAGATTTTTACAGTTTGAGAGAAAGATAATTAAAATAAGTTAATGTATACATACCTCCTTTATAATTAACATTTGCGTACTGCTTTGTTTCTTTTTTCTTTTTGTTTGGTTTAGTGTTAACATATGGACTGTCTGTTTTCTCCTTTAGTTTGCCTTTTTTATTTGCTGCTGTTAAACTTAATGGCGTTTCATAGAATGACGCCTGTTCATTCTCAGGGGGGAATAATTGCTGTATATTTGTTCTTTGCCGATTTTGAAGCAAAATCTTTGTTTTCATAAACAGCATCTTTTAACTGGTGTTGTTGTTGTTTGAATTTACTACAAAGAATACAATTAAGAATTATAAAATCAAACTGCAGGGAACGCTGCTTACGTTTGACAATCCAGGATGTTAAATATTTTTCAGGAGAGCATTATTTATCCAGACTAAACCAACAAAACCTTCTTCAACTTCAAATTTATTTGTATTTCCTTGTTGAAGTAAAAGTCTACTGAAGAACTAAAAGGTCCTATACAATCATTAAAATATTTATGAGAAACTCTTGAGTACATGTACTTGTGAAGTACATATGGAAAAGAGACACTGGCAAGTTAGCCAAAGATGAAATAAGACAGCAAGTAGTCGGCTATATGACTCTTATGGTCTAAAGAACTTGGTATACAAATTTCACAGTATCTAATAACAGAATTTTAATTGAAGAAGAAGAAGAAGAAGAAAATAAGATATAAGAATAAAACGGGAGAAAATGAGACATTTCATTATTATGTAGTAGTAGTAAGTCTTGTACTTTGTATTTTTTTTTCTTTTTTTGTAACCTAAATTTCTTTGACTTATACTTCATTTAACAATGTAACTTTCATAAACAGAAGTCTCAAAAACAATTTAACCTTTGAATGTTGAAGCAGGGCTTTTCAGCAAGGCACTATGAAAAAATTCATACCAACTGGAAGTGTTGTAAAAGGCATTACATTATCATTCTTAAAATAAAAAAAGTATGCCATATATAGATACAATTTTCACATATTTTAGTTATTGTATTATGTACTTACTCTGTAGGTGGTTTTATGACCTTTGACACTGAAATTATAAAAATTATAATATGAGGAATTATATAAGGGAATGAAGTTAAATAAAAAAGAGATTTTTAAAAATATTAATCAACTTTTTTCAACAATTTATGAACTATGAGAGCTAAAAATGTGTTTTAAAAAGGGGTTAATTATCATTAATTAATCAAGAAGGAAAATTTATATCAAACTTAAAAATCTTTATCTATTAACATTTAATTTTTGTCAAACTCTTTCAAATCTTCTGTATTTTTATCGGTTAATTTAATTTGTCGATTCCTATGAGAAAAAATTAAAATGTGCAAATTCGTTGCATTTTACTATACTGTGCAAAATATTGTGCAATAAGTTGGCCATCTGAGGTTTTTTCAAGCTTCTAAATTGTTTTCGCTTGCAGATCAGTATTTTACAAAGGTCTGCAAGTAGATTTTTTTGGTCTCCTAAACACTTTTCATAATCTAAATTAATATGTTATGGCCTCTTGATTCTAAACAAGAGGCCCAAGGGCTTAACGGTCACCTGAGTATAATTTAACAATCCATAGATTAAAACAAAATAAGCTGATAAATAAAGCTGTGTTTCCTAAAAGCAAGAGAAATAGGATAATCGATCAGGGATCAGCAGAATATTAATTTGATAATCAACAACAAATCTTAAAGTTTATCTATTTATTTACCTGTACTTCCCCCATTTCTCACTATCCTCATACGGACTAAACAAAACAATAGTTCTAGAGCACTATTAGTTAACACATTTCATTCCCCCTCGCATCGGCCTCTCTTGGCCTTTAAAGATTTTTTATTGTACAAAGATATGGTAGTTTTGGACCATTTTTATTTATCTATTATTTAAAAGTTTACTTGACAATTAAAAACTATGAGAATACTTTTGTACTAAACATTATAAAATTTCTTGTATAATTCTGTTATTCAATTGACGTTTCAAGTTGCATTATTTACTGTGATTAACAATTATAGGTAAATAGCAAAAGGGAATAACTCTTTCACTAGAAACTAATAAATTGAACAAAGGATATAAAATTTCCAAATCTGGTAAAAACACCCCTTTATATACTCTATTTGCCTCCGAGATGCCCAGAAGCACTAGATTTTCAAGTGAAATATATGGAGATAACGAACAGTATTCAAGCTCAAAAGTCCATTAAACAATACAAAATAGGAGCAGAGCAAACACGGACCCCTAAACATCAGAGGTGGGATCAGGTGCCATGGAGGAGTGAGCATCCCCTGCCAACCGCTCACACCCAAAATCCATTTTCACTATAGATTCAATATAGCTCCAACCTAACACCAGAAACCCTTACCCAGGGGCCAAGATATTCACATTTTTGAAAGAGTTGCCCCTGCTCATCATAACTATATACTTGGTTTATCTGCTAAATACCCTGGGCAGAGAGGAAGATTTCAAAGAAAAATGCACTTTCACTATATAATTAATAGAGCCCTGCCCTACAATGGAACACCAGAACTCTTGACCCAGGGGCCAAGATATTCACAATTCTGGAAGAGGCGACCTTTCTTCATCATAACTATATACTTGGTTTATCTGCTAAATACCTAGGAGCATTTTCGTCTGATTGAGAAACTAGCAGTCTGTGTTATAAAAGGAAGTTTGGAGTACCTGTAAATTTACTTTCTCAAATGACAATTTCTATGTTTCTTTAAAAGAAGACAAACCTCCTTGTGGTTCTGAAGGCATTTCTAGTTCTACTGCAATAGGGTTCACCTCCCCTGCTGGTTCCCTCACCTCCCTCTCTGGTTCCCTATAATCGTTCTCGGTCGATGTTGGAGAAAGAGCATCAATAGAGGGAGGAATAAATAATCTATCATTTTAAAAAATGCATTTTTGTTTGGTTAATTGAATTGCTAACAAAACAATATTTAGGTAATTTCAGCAAAAAGACGCTGAATTTAACGCATACAAACTTACGATGCATGTTTCTCTCGAACAACCTTCTTTATAGCTTTCTCTGTAAAAAAAAAAAAAAAAAAAAAAAAAAAAAAAAAAAGAATTGCAAGAATTAGTTTTTTGCATAGCCAAACTTACCATAATTCTGTTAACAAATACATGAAATTTCTTTTCTACATTTCAGGTCAGTTACGTACTTTGTTTTCTAGTTTTGTAAAGTAAGAACACGGCCACTCCAATTACAAGACCACTAAGGACGAGGAAAACAGATCCGACAGCTATCATTGCAATTCCCGAATCACTCGAGAGTTCCTCGGGTACTTCAAGGAAAACATCAGTTACATTAATTTCTTCCTTGATATAACATGGAAACATCATACATCAAATTTGCGTTTTAATGTATTTCATATTTGATCAACATGCTCCTTGTTTACATGTACATGTCAACATGAAACTTAGGTCCAATACATGTAGCATAACGTTAAACTTTTTATTTGGTAGGTTCAGCTATATTTCACATATATACATATAAAACGGTACAAGCTATAAACTATATATTTTAAATTGCTTTATTTATATCAATATGCAAATGAACTGTGTTGACATATGACATATCTATGTTGACAAATAATTTATATGAGGTTTTGGTGCGCATGCGTAAAGATAGATTGTGTTCAGATTTTTGCTGCGTTTTCGATTGAATTTTTTGGCGTTTAGAAGCATCTTTATCATATTTAAGACTTGTATTAGTACCATTGGGAGGCTTGGCTTTTTCATAAAAATGTTATATGATATGTCAGACAGCAAACGGAAGCTATCATCAGATGGTAAAACTATGAAGCCAGTAACTATGTCAGTCAAAATGGCGGCAGGAGGTAGCGCGGGTAGTTCTCATGGGGACGGAGAAAATGAAGAACCCGACATCGTCGACCGGTTCACAATCATAGCTAAAGCTATTGAAGGGTAACAGAAAGGGCAGAATTCTTTACAGTCGACGATAGAAAGCAAATTATACAAGTTTCGAAACGATTTCATGAGTAGTATAGATGAAAACTTCAAAGCAATGAAGACTGATATTGACCTTGAACTTGCTATTCATAAAAATGAGATCGATAGTTTGTCAGGGAGCATTGATTCTATTGCTAACCGGTTAGAAAATGTCGAACAATGAGCTTAGCCTTCACCTGAAAATGCAAACATTGCAAAAAGTCCTACAAATCAACTGGATGACCCCAATATAACACTTATTGCAACTAATGTCAAATGCGATAGAGGGGAAGACGCGAGAAATTGTAGGTCATCTTGACGATATTGTAAACGTCGTGGCTGCATGCCGCTTGAAAAGCAAAGGTAACATTAGGCCTTGTAAAGATCTCGGTATTCTCTAATAGTAAATAAAAGGTAGTGTTGCGGGAAAAGCATAAACTCCAAGAAATAAAAAAGTTCAAAACGGACTTTCTCAGATCGAGTAAAGCCCAAATTAAAAGACTTATCGAACTAAATGCACGCACGATCTTAAACGAAATGCCACAAGGCGAGCAATTTCGATTTACAGCTAATGGCAGAATTGTTATAAAGCAAGCGCGAGCTGAACAGACCAATGATATTCTCTCCGATCAGGAGAGAAATGACACCGACTCAGATGTTACTATCGGCATCAGATTGATGTCTTGCGATTCTGGAATCGTCTGGTAACACTAGAAAACGACCGTCTGACGAAGATTATCCTTTGGGATCGGGATCAAAATAACAAACTGGATCTCAAAAATTATTATTTGATTCTCTGAATATGCCGTATACATACACAAACTCATCAAGATGCAGCATAGAACTTGTCGAAAGACTCCTCCGTCAGAAAATTAAAACACAATGGCTTGACGATTTACAAAATATTTCCAAACTAAGAACATACCGTCCCTTCAAAAACCAATATGAACTGGAGCAGTACGTCAGTATGGATTAACCGAAACCTATCCGATCAGTAATGGCAATGTTTCGTTGCAGTGTATTGCCACTTCGAAGTGAAACCGGACGTTATAAATCTGAGCCACCCCAAAACAAAATTTGCAAGTTTTGTAACACTAACGAAATTGATAACGAAAAACTTTTTTACTACACTGTAAATTATATAAATTTAAGAGGATAGGCTTCTTTCGTTAAATAAGATTTTAAAAATTGTCAAATTTGTCTTTAGATGATACATTCTTTTCAGATATTTTATGTAAATTTCCCAGACAAACTGCAAATTTTATATTTGATGCCTTTAACATTCGTCAAAACTTTACAAAAAGAAAACTCTAATATCATTTTTCTTCATTTATGTGCCTATCTATATATTGTCAAAATATTAACAGTGACATATAGGTCATTTCGGCCAAGTGTGAGAAATTAAGTTTATTAGTATTAAATATATTGTATAATTGTTATCAATACACATTGTCACCATAATAAATAATTTACTTACCTACTATTATAACTTAACTATGTTTATGTGCAACTTCACGTAGTATCGGGGGCAGGGGGACATGCCCCCCATCCCACTTTTTCCAAACTTAACATTTTACCGTTGAAAATGTTCATTGAAAGGCTGGTCCCCCCTCTCCCACTTTTTGCTGCAATTAAGTTAAAACATGGATGTGGCGGTAAATTAATAAAATTTGGTTGTGGGAAAAAGGTGGAACCTAACCCCCGCCCCTCTTTCAAGAAATTGGATTTTGGAGTTTGGACAATTAACTTTTCTTGCTTGTCGAAGGCTTTTCAGATAAGGTGTCAATTTTTCCCGGCCGCCCTCCCCCCCCCCCTTTTCAAAAACGATACTACCAAAATTGATACCTGTATATTATGACATGAAAATCTACTTTTGTTGCTAGTTTGACTGCTAGATTTTTAGTCATTTCTTGACATAACATTTTAATTTTTGTGAAGCATTTTAAAAAGAAGTGCCAAATCTACCAGTCTTGTAAAGTACGTTTTTCCCCGTAAAATCTTTCCCCCCGGAAAACGGGCTCCAGAGTAGGATTTCCCCCGGAAAATTGGTTCTAGAGCAAGATTTCCCCCACGTAAAAATTACTCTAGAGAAGGATTTCCACTACGGAATCTTATATCAGAGTAAATTTTCCGGGGGGAAATCCTACTATGTGTAATAGTTATAGAGTGCGATTTTCCCCAGAGTCAAATTTCCCCCAATAAAATATGGCTATATGTTTACACGGGGGGGGGGGGGGGGGGCATTGTTACAAGTGTCCCTTCTTCAAAAAAGGCACCCAGTTACAATGAAAATATGAATTATGAAAATTGAAAATTTTGCTTTTTCCTTTTCCTCACTAACTGACCATCAATTCTTTTGAAGCATTAAAATCTTATTCTTTTCATCTGGTCAAACTGGCTTCTAAAAAAGGGGTACAATGTAATCGATTTGACAAATTTTTAACTGTATCCATGGGATTTAATTTTTTCTCCAATTGTATTTCAAACTACATGTACATAATATTGATGTGTGAATGTCTCTCCAAGTTTCTGGAGTTTGAATATATCCCAAATAGTTGTCGTTCCCATGAAACTAAAAATTTGTCATATCATTCTTTAAAAAAAATGAATTTTTGCAAAATTTAACAGAGTATTTGCTCTCTGCTTTCAAATTCAATATTACACCGCAGGGGTCAAGGGGACATATTTATGCTTCGGCTTGCAAAAGCATATTTCTTGAATTGATTAATTTTTGGGTCTTTGAAGAAGTACTCGATTTAAAAACTCACAAAATGACATGTGGAATCTCTTAATAATATGAATTTTAGAATTTTCTCACACTCTTTGTATAAAGGATTGCTCCATAAATAATATACTAGGCCTTCAAAGGATTAACATATCATCAAATCACTAAAGGTGGCCTGATATACATTTTAAAATTCCTGAACAAACAGCTACCTACTCGTCGAGAGATGTGTTGAGACACTGAGTCCTAGAATTTTTTAAGTGAACAAATTTTATAATTTTCTATGAGTTAAAATTTTGGGTTGAGACTTAATAATTTAAACTAATCATTTTTAGTTTAAAACTACATTTGACAGTTCCTGAATCGAAAACACTCGTATTTCCATTAAAAAATCAGTTGACTTTCATATAAACTTTTAGCCAAAATTTTGTAGATAGGATATAAGTATTGATACAAGGGGAAAATCCGACTTTAAGAAAGATCAAGGGGGAAATTTGGCTCTATTGTGAGATTTCCCCTCGGGAGGAAATCCTACTCTATAGTACAGATTCCGGGTAGGGGGAGGAGGGGGGGACTGGCTATGGGGCAAATCCTACTCTACTATATTTTCAGGATGATGAAGAATCAACCAAGGGATTAACCATATACAAGTGACGAGTATTAAAAGCAGTATTCAAATCCAGTAAATGCCTATTTCTACACAATTCATTCATTTAAAATTAATACTTTTAATAAAGTATATATTAATCAATGTACACTCTCTGTTCCGTAAAAAGTATTACTGTGCATGACGACGTGTTCAGTAAGTTGTTAAGTTGCAAACTGACATAATTAACTTGTAAGTAAAGTAGGAATATTTAAAAAATTAACTTGCAAATGGGCGGCACAAATATACATGTATATGCCACCATAAATATACATGTACTGTAACGCAAATCTTATACATGTAATTACGTTGCATACATATACATGTATTTCTGTTCAACATGAATTATTGTACATAATATATAAATAGCATTATTGGAGCTGGCGGTATATACAATATACAATATAAAAACAATACTAAATTTACCTGGAGATGCAATGAGATACTGGACAACTGCATTACCCATTGAATTGTTTATAAACGTCAAGTATTTACCGGGGTCTTTGGTCTTTATACTTGTTCTACAACAACAACAACAACAAGAACAAATCAAATTGTATATTATACCCCTATGTGTGAAAATACCATCTGCAGACAGAATACTTTGAATTCATAAACTTTCTATACATACAAGTGTACATTTAATGATGGAATAAATAAATACTTACAGAAAGCTTGGTATACTATAACTGACATTGTCCTTTTTCATTGTGTGGTATCTCGGTTTTACATTCCTATTCTCCACATAATCTGCAGTTTTGCCCTCTACGATCTTGAACCAAAGAATCTCCGGTGTGTAATAGAGACTGATGAAATCTACGCTTAACGTCCAATTTCCGTCACCAATGGGCGTCTTATTTTTGGTATCCATCAAAATTATAGGTGGAGCTAAATGTTACATAAATATTCATATTATATTGTCAAAACAGTGACAATGTTACGTTGTCATTGTCAATTTTTGTAGAAATTTTAAATTTGATTATGAAATGTCTTTATGAAAGGAGTTTTAAGTTGTGTAACCACAGTTAGTTATCCCACCTAAATCTGTGTGTGTGTGAATTCACGGAAAATGACTATAACCTTTTAAACAAGAGGCCCATGGGCCAAACGCTCACCTGAGTAACTTTGGCCTTGCTGTTTTTCACCTGATTTCTCTCACACACACACACCCCGTTGTACTTATTGTGGCGCCGCCCTATCCCCAGAGGTCATGATTTGAACAATTAGAATCTACACTACCCCAGGATGCTTCCACATAAGTTTCAGCCTTTCTGGCCCAGTGGTTCTTGAGAAGAAGATTTTTAAAGATGTTTTCTGCATATTTCAATGTAAAACTTAAACCAAATTTTCAATTTCTGCTTGATTATATTTATTACTTCGACTACTTATCCAATCCTATTATGTCTTGCTTTTCTGTGCGACTTCTACATAAAATCATTTTGTTGTTTTCTTGGGGATTTTTTTGTTGTTGAAATACTAGTGTCAAACTGACCGCTGATATACATGTATTATAAAACTCTACATAAACTTTAAGCACTAACGACTTATCCAACCCTTTAACTTACTTTTAATTCGTAAGTCAGAAAATGCCGTCACAATTTTGCTTCCGTTTTTAAACGGAATATTATTGGTCATCGCACAGGTATACCTCCCTCCGTCCGTGATTGACACATTTTGAAGCGAAAATTCAATCTGAGAAGAGGATGTTTTACTGTAAGAGATACTTCTCAGAAATTCACCGCTGAAGGTAGTGTGATTACATTGTTGGAACGTGTATATATCGGGAATGCCGTTGTATACTGGTCTAAATGTAAAGGTAACGAAAGTTCTTTCCTCAACTTGACTGGAAGACGGAGAACGTGACAAATGAAATTTGGGAGGATCTGAAAGAATAAAAAATTGTCAGTGAAAGAATTGACAGGCATTTACTCACTTTGAATTAGAATGTTTCAATCATGTTAAAAACCAAAGCTTCAATGAATTCGTGGTTGTAACAGATCCTTTTTTCTTTCAAATCATAGAGATATATAAGAAAATTTATTAAGAAAATCAAGTCTCTTTAGTTATTAATGTAAAAATTCTTACCAGTATTCGAAATAAAGACAATCAAAATCGTAGTCCTGTTATATTAAATTTAAAATCTAAACAGTAACTACAACCCCCAGGCAAATAATTTTCTAAAGCATATTAAAATGCATACATTTAGAAATTAAATTTAGTAAATTTTCCCTCACATTGCACATTCAAATCAAAATTCATGCTGGAGATTTTAGAACCAACTCTGTTGGAAGCCTTGCAAGTATAAATTCCGGCGTCAGTTCGTTTAACTGATGATATGAAGAAGTCCCCGATGTCACGTGTTGATCCGCCTCTTAGAAAACTAAACGTGCATGTTGGATTGCAAGCTGAATCACAAGTAATATAAGGAGTGGGTTCATGCTCGGTTAGAGTTATGGTTCCTGTTCTGCTTAAAGTGGGAACGTTAGGTCCATCTAAACATAATCAATTACTGTAATAAATTGAATAATCATTCGGTAATAATAGGAATACAGCTATATCCATTTTTTTAAATGTAGAGGTATTTTTAACAAGTAAAACAAATTTAAACTTTTTTAAAAGTTTAAATTAGATACTGTTTATACATGAATAAGCCCATCACTCACATTGTTTGGACACTGTAACAGAATCACTTGCTGATCCTGCGTAACAAAACACATTTACTGTGTTAAGACTGCTGGAGGATGGTCTTGACGGATAATACTGGAATTGACTATTGCCACCGTAAGTTGTTACATTACTGGAACTGATGCTCGAACTGTAGCTCACTGTTATATTAGTTGTCTGAGTTACGGAACCTAGTCGCCAAGATATTGTCCTGTTTGAATTGCATGATGAATAACTGCAGCTGAAGGTACGACTTCCACCGACCGTAATGGAAACAGAGGATGAACCAGATATGCTCGGGGTACAGGCATCTAGATGAAAAATATTATCCTGTAAGCGCATGCATAGAATTTGCACACCTTATCAAATCTATTGAATAATGTTAATTAATGAGTCTAAATTAATTATATATAGTTCATTTTTTTTAAACGGGACACCACTGTTTCCATCGATTTTGGCCGGATTAGACAACATTCCGGATTGGTCAATATTTTAAACAATTTCTGAAAGGGAAATAAAGCTTACACTGTAATAGGCAAGATTTCGGAATACACAACATCATGTTTATATAGACAGGTTTCACTGTATTTCTTTATGACTTGTATATTAAGGAGGGATTCTTTTTATCTAGCAGGGACTATTATATTTTTGGCGTAATAGCGGCGTATAAAAATGTCTCCTTTTCTGCATCTTAAAATGACCATAAAACATTGAAATTGGTTAATTTTTTAAAACAATTAAAGACTGAATGAAATTTTCCAACTGACTAACATCACTCTGGACTAAAGTTTTAAAAAATATTTAAAATAATTTCAATTTTCTAAACAAACTACAGTCTTATTAGCTTTTGAAAGCTTCCGATCTAAGAACAGATTTGAGCAAAAAATCAGTAAAAAGTGCTTTTTCTCTCCTACTAAACTTTTTGTTTTTGTATCACTTTGTATACCTGACTTCTTTACCATATGTGAAAATAAGAAAAATTTAAATATATGAAGAATATCAAAATAGCTAATATTCTCTATAAATTTAATTAAAATAGAGGAAATTCGGAAAGCCAATATTTATTTTAGTTATATTTTTTTATCTTAATTCGGTAGTATCATTTGATGGACCTTACATGTATATGATGAGATTTTTTTTAGGCAAAAAGAAAAATATTTAATCTTTTAAAATAAATTGAGGCATAAAATGATTTGCAACAGTAATTTTTTATTCTTGATGTCAAAGAAAAAGATGAAGACCTTGACCTGATCTTGCACCTAAAATAAAACGGTCAAATTTAATCACATTGATACCATCACTTAGTGATATTGTCATTTTAAATCTGTGAAATTTTCATTAAATTTTATTGAATAGCTGAACAAGCTGAGAATTATTCTGGATTTTTTTATACTATCTACGAAATCATGTACTAAAGGAATAGTTCATTTGTAGCCATATAGGATTGAATACTATAGATTCCATATATTCCATATCTTACATGAGTACTTAATTTTGCCTAATGAATCGAAGGCCTTTTAAAATTGCCGGAATTTGAATTTGCAAGTGGCAGTTTATCAAGATTTTACTTCGGCAAAATAAAAGTGATTTTTTTTTCTTTTTTATTTTTTTATTTTATTTTATTTTATTTTTTTTTTTTATTTATTTTTTTTTTTTTGCAAAAGAATTGTGCGATAATAAATTCTTAGCGTATATTAAGGTATCTACAGCAAATACGACCTTTCCTGTCTAATGAGGCCAAATATTTTTCCAAATCAATTCTGGATACTGTAATTTAAACACTTTTCAGGATATTTGCAGTTTTTCCTAGTATACTTTTCGTGCACTTCTCACAGTGTTCTACATTTGGGCGTCGTAACTTTCCTTTCATTTGGGATAGTGTCATTTTCTAGGGGCATTGTCTATGTTTTCATTTGGGATAGTGAAATCTATGATTTGATTTAGAAGTATTAAAAAAATACACAAAACAGATGAGGAAGAAAAAAGAAAAAATCGAATACTGAACACAGTATCACTCAATCTACAAGGAAGCATTTAGTTATATCTTAAAAACTTCGCATGTTGCATATAACATGTAAAGCGGTTGTTTGAAGCTGCATTATACGACAGTGTGCACATTGTAAACACTTATGTTAAGAAAACATTTATTAAAGCTGCCTTGCTGAAGAGAATTATTTTGTCTAGAATTCTCTAGTTTATGTAGCGATGTACCATTATCACCTGCATATGGATTTGTCTCCCAATTGATTCGATACGCAAGAGCTTGCTCTAAGCTACATACGATTAATTCTAAAACGATGCAAGCTATTAAAAAATAAGTTGATGATACAAGGATATCAACAGTCTCCTTTAAAGTCAACATTTCACAATTCTATGGTTGATACAGCGATCCTGTATCAGCAAATACGATTTATCAATAATGAAATAGTGTACAATATTGTGCATTACTTGTAAAGAAAATTACTATTAGTAATTTACGATGGACAACGAGTATATTTTTGAGTTGTGAGAATGGTTCTTTCACCAAATACATCTTTGATATTCCAATGATATTTATAGGTTTAACAGGTGTTTTGACTTCCTTATCTTGTTTTATTGAAATGTTTTACTTTTCAATTTCTGAATATAAATTGTTCATCTGAATTTAAAATGGACCTGTTAAAAATTAGGTGAAATGCGCCTGTCTGTATTTGCATTTTAAAGGCACACATTTGATGTTTTGCAAGTAAACCCAATTTATAATATCGTAAAAGCAATTCGCAAGGCTATCCTGCCAAAGAGAATTACTATATCTAGAATTCCTTCAAATCATAATTTATCAATTATTACACTTAAATTACCATTATAGCATTTTGTACGTTTAGGAGAAGGTATAATGCTGAGCGAGAAAATTTTGACCTGAATTTCTTTAATATTCCATATCTTGGAATGTTTCCTTTTCCTTATCATGTGAACGTAATAAGTGTTACTTCTGAACATCAGTTGTTCGTGTGATTGGATTTTAAAATGGACCTATTAAAATTAAAATGACACTTTAAAACACCTCAAGTGCAGCAAGAACAGGAAATGACCAATCAAGCACTAGGGCTATGAACAAGAGAACTTTTTTCCTGGTACAATTTAAGTATTATTTCAATCTCTCTCTCTCTCTCTCTCTCTCTCTCTCTCTCTCTCTTTCTCTCTCTCTCTCTTTTGATGGGTAAAAAGCAAGATGGAGCTCGGCAGTCTAACAGTGTTATGAACAGCACTCCGTGTCTGTCCAAACTAGGCAAGGACGTTAATCCTGGCTGCTGTTATTGGCTGTTTTATGAATAGGAACCTCGTCACATACATGTTACGTTGTTCTTAATAACGAAAATAACGGCAATTGTAAGAGCATTATTTAAATAAGATTTATGTTCTGAAATGTCCTGAAAATATTCTTTCTTCTTTGAATAATAAAACGTAATAAAATTCATTGCCATTCAGTTATTTAAAATATGTTATTTAGCATGCAGTAGCAAATGTCAAACTTTACCCCATCCCACCCACACTTAGAAAAGCATTTTCAGTAAGAGAAGAGCATCTAGGAATTTTTCACTAATTGATTATTTACACGTGACTTTAACTGTACCTACACTGTACTTATAAATCTTAAGATATTTATGATAGTTTCTTTGTTATAAATTACCGTACATTAAAATGTACTTTAAACTATAAACACTGGCAAGAAGTCTAAGTACCTGTTGATAAAAATTTCACAATCATAAGAAGGAAGGTATGAAGACGCTCTCTATTCATTTAGGGGTATTAATGTATGTATGTATATATATATATATGTATGTAGGTTCGTCATTTTGATCAAAACTCATTTAGTATGATCTGATATAGAAGCACATTTAACTAGAGGTAATGTGAGCACTTCAAACTCACAAAATTATACCCCCACCCCGATTCCCATATGAGTATAATTGCAAAGTCTGTTTTTGCTATGGGAAACCCCAAATATCTGTCTGATCAGAACATAAACATACATATTTGCCTCTAAATGTACTCTAGCTCCTTTGTACATGGGTAGCAAAGAAGCCACAAAACTTATTCTATAAATTACATAAAAAATGTATACATATATCAAATTGAGCATAAGGTACACAGGTGAGCATATATGACCATGGGCTTCTTGTGTCTGAAATTAAAGATTGTGATGAAGTAATTTCTGTTTTAAAGAGGAAGTTTCAGAAAAAATAATTTCTGTAAAGAAGAAAAAGAAGATGTGTTTGTGAAACACTGATGCCCCCGTATGGCAACTTATAGCGAAGGTTAAACTTTCTCAAATGCAAATCAAATATGCTGGTACCCAAATTAAGGTCTTGTCCCGAGGAATATACCTGAAAAATATGAAAGCCCTAGCAGCAACCATTGAAAAGACATGGAAAAAGGTTAAAGTTTTTCAAAAGTAAGTCAAACATCAAGGTCAAATAGTCAAAATTAATGGTGCCCAAGGAAAGTCTTTCTCATAAGAAATACACACGTGAAATATGAAAGCCCTAGACCAACCATTTAAAAGATATGGCCAAGATTAAAGTTTTTCAAAAGAAGGTCAAACTCCAAAGTCACGGTCAAAGGGTCAAAGTTGTTGGTAAGGTCTTGTCACAAGGATTGCAAATGCAAAGTATGAAAGCCCTACATGTAGAACCAGCTGTACAAAAGAAATGGCCAAGGTTAATGTTTACCAAAAGTAGGTCTACCTCCAAGGTCAAGGTCAATGAGCTATAATTGTTGATATCTAAAGGAAGGGCTTGTCACAAGGATTACATATGTGAAGAATGAAAGCCCTAGCACCAACCGTTCAAAAGATATGGCCAAGGATAAGTTTTTCAAAAGTAAGTCAAATTCGTAGGTCAAGGTCAAAGGGTCAAAGTTGTTGGTATCCAAAGGAAGGTCTTGTCAGAAGGATTGCAAATGTGAAATATGAAAGCCCTAGCATCAATCGTTCAAAAGTTATAGAAAATGTTAAAGTTTTTCAAAAGTAGGTTAAACTTCAAGGTCAAAGGGTCAAAGTTGTTGGTATCAAAAGGAAGGTCTTGTCACAAGGATTACACATGTGAAGAATGAAAGCCCTAGCACCAACCGTTCAAAAGTTATGGCTAAGGTTAAAGTTCGGTAAAATTTTGTAAAACGGGGTCAAACTCCAAGGCCAAGATAAAAAGGTCAAATATGATGGTACTCAAAGAAAGGTCTTGTCACAAGGAATACACATGTGAAATATGAAAGCCATAGCTCCAACCAATCAAAAGTTATGAGCAATGTTAAAGTTTTTGCGGACAAACAGAAAAACACACAGACAGACAGACAGACGGACAAGACAAAAACTATATACCCCCGAATCATCGATACGGGGGCATAAAAAGAATAAACCGGAACTTAATAACGACATTTTTCGACCCCAATTTGGCCCAAAAGGTGTGAATGAAAATTCTGAAACCTTAAAGCACATCTGCAGGACATTTCCATTCATCTTGAAAAAAATGAAATGGCTAATGTGTAATATGTACATGTATGAGGATTTCTGGGAGCAAGGTTTTTGTAGAATGAAAAACTTTTTTGCCCCCATCTGGCCCTCAAGAAGAAAATGAAAATTCTAAAACCTTATTGCACATTTACAGGTCACCTCTAATCATCTTGCAAAAGAACTGTAAATGTAAGAGGAGTTTTGGGAACCAGGTTTTTGTAGGAAAACGTCATTTTTCAACTTCTATTTGGCCCCCAGGATGAAAATAAAAACTCTGAAACGTAATTACACATTTACTGTACACCACCAGATTTTTAGAAAATATGCAGGTATAATAAAGATATCCATAAAAGTCTCATTAAGTTTTATTCATTTGTAAAGGAGGAGTTGCTGATACAAAATAGCTAATCTAATGTTAAAGAAAGAATGATGGAGTGTCCATGTTTCGCTATGGGAAATCCCAAATATCTTTCTATCGAAAATTAAAACAGGAGATGCTTGTTGGCACTATGTAATAAAGATTCTGTGAAAGTCTCAATAATTTATTGGGGGTATAGGAAGAGTTGCAGATAAGAGATGGATCGTATCGTCAATATTATAAAAAAAAGAATGGCATTGTCCATGTTTTGCTATAGGAAACCCCAAAATGTGTCCGAACGAAATGTAAAATAGACACAAAGCCAATATAAAATATAAAAACATTAGTTGAAAGTTTCATTAAGTTATGGTTGAAAATTTCATTAAATTACATTCAGTGGTGTACAGGAGTTGCGAATAAGTGATGGCTACTCTCAAGTGTTACTAACTTAACGGATGTACGGACGGACACCCCCATCACTTTATACCCCCCCCCCTTTTTCAAGCGGGGGTATAAAAAACCATAAGACCACTAACAATACAGAACACTGATAGAAAGGAGGAAAAAAATAGAGCACTGAGCACCGAAATCACTGCATCTTCAGGAAGTTATTAGTTATACAACTATCTTAAAGCCGTATCATTTATGCCGTATCAAAGGTAACTTTGCGATGTATGAAAGCATCCTAAATTTTGTTCAAACCATATAGCATGGAGTCTTCTTGCACTATATATAACTAATTTAGCTCGATGAAAAACTATATATATATTGAAATGAAAAAAGAAACGCAGGGTAACATAATAGATCTATGCCAAAACTGTTTGACTGCATAAGCGAAAATTATGAAAATTGGTCAGAGGGATATCTTTATTGTGTAGGAACGGACTAGGGTAAAGTGCGTTACCCTAGTCCAAGATGGCGACAGGCAAATAAGCTTCGACTATTTTGCACATAGTTTACGCCTTATACTGGCTTACATTATGAAATGGGTGGTTTTATTTTAAGTATTTTAAACAGAAGTGCGTCACTATTGCAAAAATTTTGCATGATCTTCGCTAATTGAAGCCAAATTACGGGTAGAAAATTTGAACAAGATTAGGGTAACTCAAATTTACTAGGGTAAATATTTTGTGATCTCTTTGAGTGATTAGGGTAAAGCATGTGTAAAATGTTATTTTGTTTGTTTCAGGGTTTAAAAAATGCTATTTCAGCAGACTCAAAATGCACTCTGTAAGTAAATTCATAGTTCATTGCACCAAACATTATGCAATTGAAAAATTCTCAGTGCGCTGACAATTTCTGGAAGAGCACAATTCCCAAATTTTGTTCAAATCAGTTTATGTTTCTGTTTATAAAAAAAATGAGTCTTGAAAACCGTGTTCTGTTGATTTAAATACGACGAAAAACTTTCCAAATATCTACAGATCAATTAAAAAGTCATCAATGAAATGTGAAAATAACGAACAGAAACGATGCTCAAAATCAAATTTAAACAATACAAATCATGAGCAGAGCAAACACAGACCTCTGAAAAGTGAAAACAGAGGTGGGATCAGGTGCCATGGAGGAGTGAGCATACCCTGTAGACCGGTAAAACCCGCCGTGTACTCTTTGTCATGAATAGGTAAATGGAAAAAATGGCTTAACAATTCGTATGAAAGACGTCATTCAACATTCGACTTAACGATGAATTATATTTGCAAACAAGGTCATTATATCATCCATAGAATTTGTGAAATGTCGACTTTAAACGAGATGGTTAATACCCTTGTGTCATCAACTTATGTGTATACTCTTTCTTTCTCGATTATTTTTTTGTATTTAGATTTTCATATTATACAGAAAATGTTATTATACCCCCCTCCACCCGCTTGAAACGCGGGGGTGTATAGTGATGGGGTGTCCGTCCGTCCATCTGTCTGTACGTCCGTCCATTCGTTTGTCTGTTACGCTTTGGGGTACACATGTTTTATCCGCAATTCCTCTTATACCACTGAATAAGATATAATGAGACTTTCACAGAATCTTTGTTACGAAGTGCCATTGTGCACCTCCTACTTTACCTTTTGATCAGACACATATTTCGGGTTTCCAATAGCACAACATAGAACACTGCCATTCTTTCTATAATGTTGACGGGTACATATCTCTTACCCACAACTCCTCCTATACAACTGAATAAAATCTAATGATACTTGCACAAAATCTTTATCATATAGTGCCATTGTGCAGCTCCTATTTTACTTTTTGATCGGACACTTATTTCGGTTCTCCCATAGCAAAACATGGACTTTGCCATTATAAACATATGGGAGGTGGGGGTATTATTTTGTGAGCTTAGTGCTCACAGTTCCTCTAGTTTTACTAGCACTTATACGCTTAACCCTAGAAAAACGGGCAAAAGAAACTTTGCTGTTCCTATTGAGAAAACGTTGGCAAAGCATTTGTCCAAGAGTAGGATAAATGCATATTAACCTGGGCTTAGATTAAGAAAACTTGTGTGGGTTTTTTTTTTTTTTTTTCATAAAAATTACACCTTAAAATATTCTTAACTAAGAAAAAAAAAGGTATTCAAGCATTCAATAAATTATTCTTAGAAAATCAGTAACAATTGAGTTCAATCTCCATAGCATCGCATAGAAATTCTTTCCGAACAAAAAGTGCGTTCTTCTGTGATGGAAGTGTTTAGTTCGACTACTATATTACATCATATTTGTCAAAATCATTTTGTAAATAGATATTGATAAAACTAGTATAGCTGTCGTCATAATTGCACATTGTCAATACATTTATATGTTCCGTTTTGTTTACGGATTTATGAGATTGATCACTGTTCGATATCGTTACAATTTACACTTTAAAACAAAATCCGACATTTGTTTCCATGTTTGCGATCAAGTGAAAAAAGAAATCTCTTGCTGTGACCTTCAA